TTTATTTTGTTTTAATTTTGTAGAATTTCTTAATTATATTTTTAAATTTTATTTCGCTACATTTTTTTCATTTTGTTAATTCTAATTTTTTTATTTTATATTGTATATCTGATAATAATTTATTTTTTAGTATTATATTTAGTATTATATTTTAATTTATTTCAAATCATTTTATTTAAAATTTTTTATGTTGATTTTTTTCATTTTATTATTTTAATTTTTGTTTTATTCTATATTTAAATTATTTCATTTTATTGTATTTTAGTTATTTTTATTTAATTCATTTTTATTTTATTTTATTTTAGTCTTTTTTTAATTTAATTTTATTTAACTTTTTGCCTTTCTTTAATTCAATTTTATTTAATTTTTTTATATACTTTAATTAATTAATTACTTTTATTGTTTTTATTTTTTAATTTATTTGATTTTATTTATTTCTTTTTATTTCCTTTTATTTTAATTTTGTTAATTTTTTAATTCTAATTTGTTTCATTTTTTCTAATTTTATTATTTTATATGTTTAACTTTATTTATATTATATATTATAATCTATTTATTTTATATTTCGATTATGTAATTTATTTTAATTTTATTTCAATTCATATAATTTAATTTTTTTTGGTTAAACTTTTTTATTTTATTTTTTTAAATTGTATTACTAAATTTTTTTATTTCAGTTTATTTTATTTTATTTTAATCTTTTTTATCCCATTCCTTTTTTTCAGTCTATTTTATATAACATATATTTTAATTTTTTATTTCAATAAATTTTTTTTTTAATTTTTTGTTAGTCTTTTTTTATTTTATTTTATTTTATATTATTTTATTTTATTTTAGTTTATTTTGTTTTATTTTAATTTATTTTATTTTATTTTATTTTATTTTTATTTTATTTTATTTTATTTTACTTAATTTTAATTTATTTTTTTTTTTAATTTTAATATAATTTATTTATTTATTCTGTTGACATTTCAAGTTCAAGTGTAAAAACCTCAAAAACTCGTCTAGAAAATACTGCCAAAATACTGTGTTCTTACATTAAAACACACAAGTACTCAAAGAAAACATGCGTTAAAGCCTGTACTTAACGACAGTATGTGTGCAGTTAGCAATACTGGTAATGTTGCAAGCAATTCAAACGTGTCGACCGACAGCAACATAACATTAATTATACAAACGCTATTAAGTGCATATTTATGAGAGGCGCTGCTGTTTATTTGTATGTAAGTACTTATATGTGGATAGTTGTTGCATTTGTTTTTTGTTGTTGTTAACGCACAATTTTTGCCACGGTCAAGCGTCAAGAAGCACAGTGAGCTCAAAATACTTGAATAAATTGCGTACAACCATACATACAAACAAAAATACATAAATAAGTTGGTAATAACATGACACTGAAAATAACTAAACAAGTAAATAGTACGAGTACATTCATAAATACATATATACGAGTATAGATATATTTATGTGTGTGCATAAGTGCACATGGAAAAAACGAGTAACACGCAATGCATTGCATACGCGCCGCCACTGACTGACCACTAAATCCATAAACCTTTGAAGCTGTCACACCGGCATCTACATGTGTATATACAATGTGTGTACATATGTACGTGTGTATGTATACACAGAGTATTGCATAAATTACGCCGAACACCTCATCACGCCAAGAGCAAGCAACCAACCAACGGCCGGCCACCAGTTTGTCTACGAGTCATTAGCACATACATACCATGTGCATATATGTATGTATATATGTATATGTATATGATTATGAATATATACATATGTAAGTGTGCGTAAGTACATGCCTCATAGAAACTTGAGTGCCGCTTAAGTGCCAAAGACACCAAATGACGAGCATATACATACGTATGTAAGTGGAAATAAACGTATGTATGTATGTAACTAGGTGTAGTATATGTAAATATGTATGCATGTATGAAGGCATACTAAGTATTTTATGTTATGTTACATTTTCATAAAATTGAATGATACTTGTGCGTGCGTCTTTCATTTCTAGCCACTCGATAAGTGTTCGTGCGTATGCGTGTATGTATGTATGTACTGCCAAGTGTGCGTAAAGTTATGGCGATCGTATGTAAATTATGCACGCATGCGTCAAAGTGCTGCAACACTCAGTGCAAGGTAAGTGTCCGCGGAAATTACGGCTGCCGCAAGGCCTATGGAATAATACCAATGTGTATGTATTCTCACATACTAACACATACATATGTAGTTTGCAAACTTTTTATCACCAGCCGCCCGTAACGGAAACAACTTTGCTACGAGTTGCGGTAGGCAATCAGAAGAATCCTTCGCGGGAACCGTGAAAGTAGGAGCTCCCACCAGCGGTGTCTAGAGCTTAGAAGATAAACGAATAACGTGCCATAGTTAGAGATCATAGTAAGCTATAACTTTTGAGGGCACAATCTTATTCTTGACTGTCTGCGTGTAGGCTAACTAGGTGACAAGGTAAGGGAATAAAATACTGCTTCTAAGAATGCTTTGAACAGAAATGATTGATCATCTCTACCAATGCCATAATGACTTCTAAAGAATTATCAGGAACTCAGTAAAAGGAAATTGTGGAAGGGTATTTCAAGCTTCGAGGTCGAAAAGAGAGCTCGAACGATGAGGACTACCGTGCCGCAGGCGAGAGAAAACCAGCTATCCACATCGCAACGTTTTAATCGACCCCAGCACGTTCGAGGAGAGATATATACCGAGAGCTGAAGAAGAAAGCGATAAGCATACGCAGCCAAAACAACAAAGAGCCCAAAAAGCGTGAGTATATAGCGCTTGAAAGCTCAGCCACCGGGATAATGATCAAAAATTCTGCGACAACTCACACAAGGTTTCAAGATCGACGCATACTCTTATGGGGCCCAAAGGGATGATACCTGGTTTATTTATAGAGACTTCTCCAGCCTGCTTCAATAGCAGTGAAAGTGCTGGATTCGAAGAGATGGAAGCTCGGATAGCAAAAGCTCGTTTGAAGAACGACGAAGAGGATAGCTGATGGATTGCCGGCCGAGCTATTCATATATGGTGACGAAGAACTGGCAAGGTGCACGCATTAGTTTCTTTGCACAATAAGATCGGTTGAAAGTATGAAAGCAAATTGGAATGTTAGGCTATTCTGCAAAATCTAAAGAAAGGGGAACCTTTAATCGGTACCAATTACATTGGGAAAAACTTGCTTTCGCTCATAAGGTCCTAACGAGTGCACAATGTGCTAGACCAGAGGCCACCGTCAACAAACTGAGTTTATCTTATCAGTGTGGCTTCTACCGAGCAAATCTACAGTTGATATTCAATCTGAGCCAAACCTTGTAAAATTACCCTAAAAATATGATCGACACATACCATCCCTTAGTTAAGTTTAAAAGCGGTTTTACGCCTCTTTGCCTTAGTCTGATATCCCCTCAAACTTATACGGCTGTGTAAACTGACATTAACGATAACGGTGAAAGTGTTCGACGCAGTGCGCGTCGGTAGAAACAGAGCATCTGAAGGACATTCAGTTTGCTGAACAGATGGTGCGGAGTAAGACCGGAAGGCACTTGTTATATCCAGACGACTGGTGCGCTTTTTTAACTTACGATATACAAGCATGAGCGGTATCTACCCCTGTTAAGAGGAAAATTAAGAATAGTTACCAAATCCAAGAAGTTCCAGGCATATAACGAGGAAATTGGCAGAGAATTTTGAGGTAGACAGATAGTTAGATGGTATTGGTATTAGAGCAATATGTGTTTCAAAGATTACCTAGAGGATGGGCCGAACAAGTTTTTGACCGTCATTCATAAGAGAATTAGCCGGTGCATGATGTTCTTAGCTCTTAGGGTTCGGTCTCGCATTAAACTCCCCCCCTTCTTCCCTTTCTACTTCTACCGGGGCGTGTAATTAATAATTGGTACTTTGTAACTGCTGAAGTGATTCTCCACCGAGCTTTTCCTCCAATTTATGGTTTCGCGTCTTGATTTTTCCCAACAAATGGAACTTTTATATTAAAGGAGCAAATAAAACCCTGTGATATATCAATCTTGGTTCTGAAAGCTGAAAAGTTAGACTTTTGGTGGCGGAGTGTTGAGGATTGCATATTTAAGATCTCTCGTAGTGAGATGGACACCTTGGGACTGTCACTCAAAGAATACAGCCTTTTTTATAAGAGAAAGTCATTCTCATATGCTAAATTTCAAGCTAAAGAGAGCTTTGCTCTACGATCTCTCTTTTATTGCTGTCAAGGCATCACTGGGGCGCGTTGTAGTCTAATATGTGGCAGTGTGTGTTACTATCACAAAGGCATTGGGTTTCGCACCAGTCAGAAGATGTCAACCTCTCCGAGCGTATTTCTGATGCGTGGTAAAAAGCTTCTCATAAAAATCTGCTTGCAATTCTTAAAGTTTTCTATTGGCAGAACATCAACCACCACACAACATATCGGCGAAGAACCACTTCCAAAGCTCGCTTAAGCTGTCATAAACATCTTTTAACAGAACCCTAGTTTATTTTTTCCCCGGAGCTCCAGCTCGGAACTTACCTACCTGACAAACATTTTGTGACAGAAAAAATAAACGATTGTCACATTCCATGCCAGGCCGTGTCTACCACAACTGGACATAACTAGTTATACAAACGCGTACGGCAACCGCTAGGCTTGTACGTACAAACGAACACAGTGATCGTGCAACAAATCACTAAATACAAACAACAACTAAACTACATCAATGATCCTAAAATAAACTCAAAATGACCAAACGACAAATGACAAACGGCCAACGGCCAGCAGCCAAAAGCCAAAACCCAACGGGCAACGGCTAACAGCCAACGGACAGAACAGATAACTCGACTAACAGACGCACCAAATGCAGGCAATCAGCCTGAAGCTACGCCACTACATCAAGGTATTCTTTGCATGGATTTATACATTTACAAAAGCTGCGACTACAAGCTAGACTAGACTATTGACTGTGCTTTGGCATTAGTAAACTCACCTGTCCAGGAATGGTGTGGCCGAGCTGGAATCTGAACTGGAGACATAACTGTGATACCCCTCCGATTGTGCATACGACGATTGCTTTTGATGATGGAACAACATCGCTGGCTGATCGTAATAGGATGAGGCGCGTATGTTGTACTCCTCGAGGCCGGCTTGTGTGAGGCTGCACTGATCGCTCATGTCATCCTGTAAATGGGCACGCAACGAGAAAGAAAGAAAAAGAGAGAGAAAGAAAAAACATTAAAAAAAGGAAAAAGTCATGAGTGTTCGCGTGTGTGTGTGTTTGTATGTGTGTATGTGTAAGAGTGGCGGTAGAAGATTGATTGAGTTGGTCACCGCAAGTAGTGCGCTTGGAATTCGTATATGTGTGAATATGTGCGTCTATTCATTACGACATTATGTTATGTTGCACGTAGCAATCTTATAAACTAAAGTGGCAGCAGCAACAAGCAGTTAACCGGCTAACTGGACTATTATTGTGTGTCTGACTTGGATGTCTGTCCGCATATGTAGCTCTTCTATACATGCTGCAAGCTGTGGCTGCTTTCGTACATACAATACATTGTTGTTGCAACAATAACAAAAACAACAAAAAATTAATAAAAATGCGTGTTAGAATAAATAAACTAAATGAATTGAGGAAAAACTGCTGATTGCCGCACCAACGGTTGCAGCTAAACTATTTAAAACAACAACAACAATAACAACAATATGGTCAAAGCTAGCGGAAGGTGTGTCAGCCGCATGAGTTGGGATGCGTCGAGAGGAAATTGTGCGCATCGCTGGTGATGCCAAATGCGTACAACAATAGCAACAACACCAATTACAACATCAACTACAACAAATGAACAACAACAACAATTACATAACACTCGTATCGGCGACGTTGGAAATATTCGCTTCGTTGTTGTTGTTTTCATTTGTTGTTGTTGCTGTTGTTTCAATTTTGTTGTTTTAATTTTGTTGTTGTTGTTTCAATTTTATTGTTGTTGTTTTAATTTTAATGCAGTTGTTTTCATTTTGCTTTTGTTGTTTTCAACATTGTTGCTCTTGTTATTGTTGTCATTGTTGTTGTTTTTTCTTCTGCTTTCCCTTCTTACTGCCACCTATGTAAGTGCGTACACACCGGTGGCAACATAGTGCACAGCGAGGTGGCATTCATTAGTGTTGCACGACCGACAGTGGCACGGCTTCCGTTGTGTAAACGTGTGGCGGGTTGCCAAAGCCCAAAGCAGCTTAACAGCAGCCGCAAGCCGCAAGCCGCAGCCGGTCAGTAGTGCGTAATCGTGTGCCCTTGTTGTTGTTTCTGCTGCTGTTGCCTTAGTGACTTGTAGTTTGGTGGTTTGCTTGTTTGTTCGCCATCGAAACGGTTATGTGCGCACTTGAAATTCTTGCAACATACCACAAGCCTTAGAAGAAGTTGAAAGAACAGCGTTTACCAAAGGCGACTAAACACACTTATACACACACTTACATGGGCTCATACATGCGATACTTGCAAGAATATGTAGTGGCAGCGGTCACAATAGATTGCAACTTGAGAGATGAGTAAGTGCTTTTTGATTGTTGTTGTTGTTTTTTTTTTTTTACTTTTGTTGCTGTCAGTTGTTATACTTGCAGCTTTTGTCAATGTTAGTCTCACTTGGCTGACTTTTGTTGTTCTAACACTTTTTGGTGTACTTACATACATCCAGATATGCATATATGATATACATATATTCAAACATATACACATACATACATATAGACCTAGGTTTTACTTAGCTCACACATCATAGCATGCTGAGCGTTATATATGCACGTATGTAGGTATGTATGTATGCATGTCTTATTTGTTTTATAAACCGTTAGAACTGAATTGCCTTTCGCTACGACAAACCCAACATGTACATATGTATGCATGTCTGTATATATATTTTCTAAGAGTATTACGAAGGTGAGTACGAAATGTCATCAGCAAAATTAAAAAAAAAATATTTTTTAAATAATAATTTCATTCTTAGATGCAAAAACTAAAGCAGGTTCCTCTAACGCGACTATCTGACGCTCGGCCTGTGGGGCCAATGAAAAGGTATATTCATACGGACTGAAAAGTCCGGCATTAGTCATTCTTGAGCGGCTTCCTTATTTGTGCATTTGATAACTGGACATGAAGGGATACTACCCAACAAGACACGGTCCTGTAATGCCTCTTAAGCTATTATAGCCTCTTTTATACCTTCCATTCGCTATTTCGTGCCAATTGGAAATACCAAGTTAGATCATGTCCTTCTCTGCCTGGTCTTCTTCTTTCGGTGCTTCCAGTAGCCTCCGCACGATATAGCAGGGCGTGAAAGATGAGTGACGTGAAGAGTTTGGTTTTGATGCGTCGAACTCTCGGCTCGATTGTTGTGGCCAACGAATTCATCGGCGTTCTATTGGCATTGCATGCTTCGGAGAGGTCCTTCCTTCAGTTTACATATCCGTATAAGTTTTGCGGGGATACCGAATTCAGACATAGTGGCGCAGAGGCAGCCATAAGGTATTATCGACAGCAAGTTGATGCATGCCCCTTGTCATCCCTTCCCCGCCACGTTTGAATAGCTCTGGCGGTAGGCCATACGCTCCAGCCTCTTTTTTGTCATTTACACAGGCAATTGTCTTTGAAACTTCATTCTAGACGGTTGTTGGAACGTCTTTTCCATTATCATCGATTGGAGGTTTGGGTTCACCATCAACGGGCATTGCAGTTCCACTGCCATTTAGCAGACTTAAGAAGAGTTCCCTCTAAACAACAAGTATGCTGTGGACATTGGCAATTGCTTCGAGCTTGAAAGCTTCTGTGAGCGGCCGTATCTTTTCATAGAGTTATCGAGCATTACCCAGCATCGGTCAGCTTCTCAAGCTCTTCATTTCGTCTGTAAATGTTTGTTGCTTCTATCTCCGGTTCCTATCCCACTCCGCACGTGTTGTGGTCGATCGTTAGGTTTCCAGATAAGCGGTGTGTTTCATCTCCACGGCGATACAGCATTTCTCATAGTACCAGCTCTTTTTTTGACTCGGCAGCGGTGGTACGTAGTTAGTTCGCATCATTCCACAGTTCCCTTCTACCGAGCTGCTGATGAGTACATTCAGAAAGCAGGTATTTAAGTCACGCGCGGCTGCCTATTGTGATTGCAGAGTACCAACGTCGAACCTTCCTTGTGTTTGTTGATGGGCGTTCTTGGATACACAGACGCTGGTACGTGCCTTCTCTGCTACAGGATGGTGATTCTAGACAATGTTAGCTGCCCAGAACGTATGCACATCTAGAAAACTGGAGACATGTCGTCCGTCTGTCTCAATATGATCGATATGGTTGTGAGTTTTTCGAACTGGAGACAGCCAGAGAGTTTGATGAACTTATTGTTATTATTGTAATTAATTAATTTTAGTTAATATTAATATCCGATCAACAAACGCTGCTACATTTTATTGAAAATTATATTAATATTTTATTTCTTTTTTTTTTTTTGTTGAACAACTCAGCATGGAAGCACAACTTCCTTTCTCACTACGTACATACATACAGGTATACATAGAAGTGCATTGATCACTAATGAGCACCGCCGGCGGATTATGCTTGATTGGTTTGCTGATGATTAAAAAGGTCTGATGTTGACCACACCAAGAGCGTGGCAAAAGCGGATTAAAGCTGTTGCAACAATTAAAAGGAAACAAAAATAAAAACTGTAACTACCAACCGAACTATCTACATACAGACGTAACTGCGCTCTAAGTGTGATGCAGCTGCTGCCATAATGTTGCATCAGCATGATGCAACAAATTAACGCCAAATCATAATAAAATTTATGGAATAACAGTTTAGAGAGACTTCCTCAGCAATAAAAGTAACACCAGCAACAACAACAACACTTACAATTACAATAACAAAAATCAACAACGATAAACAAATGACTTAGCATAGACCAAGAAGTTGAGCTACTACATTGCCGTGCACTACAATAATAAAAATAGTGTGTGTATGTGTATGTATGTATGTGCGAGTGTGTGTTGTGTAAAGCGAACGAGCGATAAACATAGCAGTGACCACAATTTGTCATGCTCTTCAAGCCATTGTCAGCTGCTGTCGATGCAATAACTGTGGCAATAACAACAATAACAATAGCAACAACCTCAAATGGCAGCAGCAGCAGTTGATTGTTGGTCCAAAGAAGCTTGAGAGTAACAGCAATTACCACAACCAGCATAGAAGGCAATAGGCAATATTAGTAATGGCCAACGGTCAACTCTTCCAGCTGTTGCACAAATTCACTCAGCGCACCTCAGCTGAGCTCAGCACAGCACAGCAAGAGTCGACAAAACCGACGTGATGATACCGCAATCAGGCAATGAAGTGTGAAAAAATAGAGGAAATTGTATAATTACAGGCGGGAGGGCAGCAAAGGCGCGATTTATGAAAAGCAACAGCATCGAGTGTGTATGCTCAAAGAATTAACCGTTATTTATTTCCAATCTTGTTGTTTTATATTTTGTTATTTATCGCTGCATTGCTGTAACTTATGTAATTGCATTGGAGGGGTTATAAATCTCAGCGCTGGATGATTTTGAATATAAAATGACCACTCATTAGGGAACCTTGAACTTTGCTGAAGTTATCAATAAATATAATACTAGTAACTTATTGATATACTTTTAGAAATTAATTCGTTCAAGGGGGATAGATTTATTGATTATATTTTTAAATCTAATATAACTTCTTTTTAATGGAAATAAATTTTATTTTATTTTTTTATTTAACTCTATTTTTATATTTTTACTTTATTTTATTTTTTTCATTTGATTATTTTATTTAATATTATTATTTTATACTTTTTTTTTTATATTCTTTAAGTATAGTTTATTCAATTTTATTTTGTTTAATATTTTTATTTTATTATACTTTATTTTCTTATGTTTTATTTTCTTTTCTTTTATTTTATTTTAATTTATTTAATTTTATTTTTTTTTATTTAAATTTAATTCAATTTTATTTTAATTACTTTTATTTATCTTCTTTTTTATATTTTATAAAATTAAATTTATTTTACTGTATTTTATTTAATTTTATTTTATTTTAATTTATTTATTTAAATTTATTTTTTTTTGTTTTCTTAATTTTTATTTTATATTACTTAATTTTTTCAATTATTTTTAATTTAGTTAAT